AGGCCTTCAGCTCTTCAGCTCCAGGCTAGCATTCTACCACTTGAGCCACAATGCCACTTCTGGCTTTTTCTGTTTATGTGGTGCTAAAGAATTGAACCCTGGACCTCATGCATGCAAGGCAAGCACTCTACCACTGAGCCACCTTCCCAACCCCAATATAATGACTTTTTATATGTCTTTAAAAGTTCACTCAGGAAATGTTAAAAAAAAACTCTTTAGTTTGATAATGATACATTTTGACATTTCACATACAAACAAGGACATTGTTTCCTGTGATCAGAACATACTAAGTTTTACTTCTAGATAATAAAGAAGTTGTAGAAAATGGAAAATAAACTGTTTTGATGTAAACACCATGTATACTGTCTGCGGTATTTGTAGAACTTAATTAGCCTCTATCCTCAGTGCAATTTAAATTTTCAAGGCATGTGTGACTAGTTTACAACCCTAACCAAGCAGCAACCAAAAGAATCCTAGCAGTGCCCAACCCAGTTCAAAGCTGGATTATCCAGAATTGGTATGGATACATCCTTAGGCAAAAAACAGGTATTGACTAGTGCAATATTACAAAGGAACTACTTGTCATTCCTACTATGAATAAAAAGTAATTTCTGGTGCAGCTCCCTGAACAAACTCATTAAATTCTTTAAACAAATGTAATGAATCTTAAGGACAGAAGAGAAAGGAAATCTGGGTACATTCATTTTCCCCATATATTTAAGAGAGAAATACAGTCTACTTAGTGCCTAGCAATTGAGTATAGTTGGATAAGTATGATTGAGCAATAGCCTTTGTTTCATCTGAACTTTACCTGAATCATTTGTCATTAGTTTGGCAGTAGAAGGGTTAGGAACTCTCTGTCTACCAAATTTTGGTGACTGTGTAGTTGTTTGGAATGATTTAATGCTGGGCAAGATTGGTGGATGACATCTGTAATCCCAGCTACCCATGAGGCAGAGATATATAGGATTGAGGTAATGACCTGCCAGGGGAAAAAAGTTATCAAGACACACCTCCATCTCAGGCTGGTGATAGGATGCACCTGTGGTCTCAGCCATGTGAGAGGCAGTAGGTATGGGGATCCTTGTCCAGGTTTGCCCCAGCAAAAAACTTTAGACCCTATCCAAAAACTAATTAAAGCAAAAACTACTAGTGGTGTAGCTCAAGAGGTAGACCATCTGCATACAAGCCATGATGCCCAAATTCAAACACAATTATGACAAAAAAAGAGTAATATTTCATACATAGTACAAGTGTAAAACTAGTAGATTAAGAAATAGACTGGGAGCCGGGTGCTGGTGGCTCATGCCTGTAATCCTAGCTACTCAGGAGGCTGAGATCTGAGGATCGCGGTTCAGAGCCAGCCCGGGCAGGAGAGACCGTGAGACTCCTATCTCCAATAAACCACCAGAAAACCGGAAGTGGCGCTGTAGCTCAAGTGGTAGAGCGCTAGCCTTGAGCTGAAGAGCTGAGGAACTACACCCAGGCGCGGGGGTGGGGGGAACCTGAGTTGTGAGAAGGCGTAAAAGGGGCTGGGCTGATCTTGCTAGGCGCC